CTCCCGGGGTTAGCAGAGGGGCGGCGGCGGGCTCAGGGACCCCTCTGACCTGAAAATATTTCTAGCGGAGAGCTTTAACACGAAGAGGAGGAGACGTCTGCTCGCCGTGCATCTGCTCACGGCCTGCCTTCTCCTATTTTTAGCAGTTGTTAAATTGCGTTCAGGAGATTTATTCTCACATCTTTTCCGTTATTTGCATTTGCTGTTCTCCTTGCCAACCTGGCAAAGATTTTTTATTTTTATTTTTATTTTTTTTTAGCTTCTCTATGACTTCATCCTAGTGACCCCTGCTTGCCAGGGATCCCGCATGGTCAGTTGTGCCGCTGGTCTTTTCATGCTGAATGTCGCTATTTTTGTGACTTGAACTATCTTGCCGCTGTGCTGGCCTTGAACAACCTGGACTACTCCATCCTAGAGCGGGCTTTGTATTTCTGCCACATCTTCTCGGGGAGAGGGAGAGAGATTCTCTTTCTGCAAATGTGAGAAGGTGCACCGAAGCACTCGTAGTTCTCGCTGTCGGTGGTCATAAATGGATTGAACTTCCAGTCTTGGTCACAGAAGTAGCGAGCTAGAGGATCCCTTGCTTCAGCCAGTACTTGTGTTTTTCAGTGCAAAATGCACGTATTCAGATTAGTATAACTAACAGGCCTGCATGTAACTTCTAAAAAGTCCTTTGACGCTAGAATAAAGCAAAGGTTTTTCGTAATGCATCATCCGTCTGCAGGTGCTACCATCACATCTGGAAAGGCTGTGGGCAGAGAGCAGGACTTTTCTTCTGCCTTTAGAGAAGCTTCTAGGTTTTCTATGCCTCCAGAGAGTGGCACGTCCATGAAGTATTTTGCTTCAGAGGAAATCTGCAGTTTCTGCCCACTGGACTTGCCTTGGGCTGAGGCCAGGGATCACTGCTGAACATCCCGTATGACGCGGCACGCTCTGTAGTCACACATCTCGACCCTCGCCCGGGCCTTAGAAGCAGCGTGGGAGCATAAAGGCAGCTAGTACTGGCCTGAAGGAATGAACTGTAGATCTCTTACCTTCTGGCTTGATAGCGTGCCTTTTAGCTGGCCTGCCAGAAACGCTGCGCACTTACACCTCTGGCTGGTGGTTGTGCTTGGGCTACTGTAGCCCCAGACGCGGGAAGCAAACTATGAGTCATAACCATGGCATTTGTTTTGTTTCAGGTGCTGCCGGAGTGGTGGTAGGACACCCATTTGACACTGTTAAGGTGGGTTGATTATGAAATACCTTTGTCTCTAGGTGGAAAACTTGAAGTTTTTCTAAGGAGTGGGGAAGGAAAAAAAAATCCCCAGACACTGTAGGAGCATAAATCTGTGCTGGAAAGCTTGGAGCGAGCCTCCTCAACCACTGTTTATAGATTTGCGGTCTCCAGCTCTTCAGAAGTGAAAAAATTCTTTGTATGTATGATTCAACCCAGTAACATGACAAACATTAGCCTAAACTAGAAGTTCATCGGGCCAGTCATGACATTGTATTTGAAAATACGATCTTACATTTAACTTAATTTTGTTCTAAGCTTGCTTCTCTGCAGCTGTTGATCACTAAATGCTAAAACTGCCTCTCCCTGCTCAAACTGAAACCTACTTTGTTGCTAGGTTGAAAATTTGTGTTTTGTTTTCCCCTCAAGCTCTGCTACTTACTCCTCAAGCATTAATTTGTTACACCAGCCAAAGGGTGTAAGTGGATAAAAATCCACAGCATGAAGCTTGTCTGGGGCCTTTTTCCTCCCTTTAAGTATTATTATATATTTTTATAACTTTCCAAGTTAAAATTGATTTTCTGATAGTTGCTTAGCTGTATGTATTATGCATACTAAGGGTAGCTAAGACCAGTTCAAAGATAAGATTTGAAATCTCCTGGAGGGCCCTTCAGCCAGGACTCCCAGGGGTCCAAGCCCATTTTTCAGAATGGGATGACAACTTAAGTCACTTTTGGGCAGCCTTATCCAAAGTCTCGCGCTGGAATAATGGAAGAAGGGATGCCAGTATATTCCCTGCTCAATTAATACACCAGATCACTTGACTGCAGTAAACAGCATGCCATCCGCTAGAGCTATATTTGGAATACCTCTGCCTTGCTGAATTTAGATATGCAAAGGGCTGATAGTGTTACCGAGGTCATCGCTATATTCTGTGTTCTAGCACATGGTTAATTCAATACAGATTTTCCTAGCTAGTGGATATTAGTCCTTGCCAGTCAAGTGCAAGCTGCTCAAATAGTAAAAACTGTATGTATGTTTCTCAGAGTATGGTAAATTTGACTGTTAAGTAATTGGGTTGAATTCTAGTATATATTTTCAGGAATGGTATTATCCAGACTTGCACTTTTTTTTTATGGTGGTACAGGGCCAGCTGTCTTTTTCTCTCACCCCCATCCTGGCAAGTTTTACATGCTTAACTTAAGGTGATGGGTCATTTCACTGAAGCCAGCAAAACTGCTAAAATTCTACGCTCAGACTAAAGTTAAGCATGTGTGGGGCTGGTTTTGGTTTTAAAGTGGAACAGCTTCTAGTGCATGAAACTAAACATTTAAGTGTCTGCAAAACTGGGGCTCTCGTGCTAGTTCTAGCAGACGTATTAATGCAAAATAGATGTGTTGGCTTTAGAAAAAGCATCTTGCTTTACAATAGAGCACGTAGTTTGTTTCCGGATGACTTTAAATGTTTTATGAATTCCAGGGTGGCACACTATATTTTCATACCTATTAGAAGGTGTTATAAGCATTTATCTATTTTTTGTTAGAGAAAATACTAATGTTTGTGTTACTAGCTGGCACAGTCACCACTGTATGTGGAAAAACTAACACTATAACCAGTCTTTAAAAACAAAAAAAAAAGACATTGCATAACTTGTTGTGTATGTATGCGTGTAAGAATTAACCCTTTTTATAGTCCTGCAGTGTTTAAAGGGCTAGCTGGTAGTCACCTTAGACTGTAAGTTTTTAATATAACTGAACAATGGGAAACCTGCTTAAAGCCAGAATTTTACTTCTGTCTTGGCTTTTAAGCTCTTCTTTTGGCCGGCGATCACGTTTCACAAAGCGGGGGGGGGGATGGTGGGACACACAGGGAGAGATTAAGCCGGTGAAGTCACCCTGCGAAACCCACAACTGAGCTGATCTCAGAACTGGCAAACTCCTTATCCCTGGTTTGTTGATGTAATGTATAAAATTGCTTTTTTGCTTTTAACTGCCTTTACTTTCTGAGCTAGGGGCTGTCTTCATTAACAGCAAAAGTGTTACTTTGTTGTAGATGACAGATAAGCCTCATCACGGGAGAGTTACCTAGTAAGTATAGCCCAGGTGAACACTTCTGTTTCTCTCAGTCTTAATTTATTCCCAAATGTATTAGTTCAAATAAAGATCTAAAAAGACCTATGAAGTTCTTTTCCTTTTTAGTTTTAAACTGATGTGTCCGTCTTCTACAGCTATGGCGTGGAGGGAGCGGGGTTTAAATATCCCTGTTTTTTTAATGTAAAGTCTTATTCTGAACCTTCTTTCTGGTATGCATTTCTGGCTATATACACTGCCACACACAGTGGCTCTCAAACTGAATCTCAGGCACGCCGTTGTTGAGGTCTTAGCCACTACATATCCTTGGAGGACATTTTCATTGCTCAAGCACTTCTAAATCACTTATTTTGCACATTATTAAATATTTGGACTGTTTTGGGGGTGCGGTGGCTTTTTTTGCTTAGTCTTGAGTACCTTTATGCCAGTCTTTAATGATGTGAAATTACAGTGTGTTACTATTGGACCTAAAACCTTAGTAACAGTGGTTTCAAATAAGAATATCATCCAATGAATAGAGGGTTAAACTTTGCACGCGATTCATCCTTCTTGTAGTTGTACACACTAAATAAGAGCTTGTTGAATACGGCATTAATATCCATAAATAAATAAAGTTTCATATACATTCATTGCCTGGCCTGGCAGTTCGCTAGTGTGGGGGTTACCCCTACGTGGTTGTCACTGTGCTCAAATAAAAGAGCTCTCTTTCATTCCTAGACCTGGAGTGTCAGTGCTTAACTTTCTAAATATTTTTATTTAGAGGCTTAATTGGTCCGTATTTCACAAATTATTTAGACAAAAATAGCGGGAGCTGTATGCCACTAGGAAATTCAGTCTATATACGGAACATGACTAATTCTAAACTACTGAAGACAAGTGTATAGAAAAGTAAAAGTAAGAAGGTTCCTGAGCTGCAATTCTCCCAAAGCCCATACATGTCTAAGTCCCCTGACTTCACAGATGGGGTTTGAAACAATAGCAGTAAACTATAAATGGAGTAAAACCTTTGTTTTGTGCAATTCTGACAGCTTGTTAAGATTTATGACTTTGCTTGTGGGTCTGCTTCTTAGGCAGTTTTAACAATCTGCCTGCCCCCCAAATGTCACTTTGAGTAACAAAGGATTTATTTTCTTTCAGTCCTACCATAAGCCTACTTCTAACCCTAAGAAGTTTTAAAACCCTGTTCCGTCTTGGAAGACCTGAGGTGATCTCAGCCTCCCAGTACGGCTAGCAAACACTAACATGTATACTAAAAAGACACTGAAAACTAAAGTTTTGATTTACAGAACATAAAATGATATGTTGTAGGAATATAAAAAAACCCCTGAAACTGTAAATAATTTATTTTTTGCCTCAAAGCAAGCTAACTGAATATAGAATTCTGACAAACCGTGTCCCCAAATCCTTTTCTAGACCCACATCATCTTACCGGTCTTTCATTGTTGTGGTGGTGTTTATTATTACTTCAGGCAAACAATGATAAAAAGACTTTAAAGTCAGGAATCTTTCACGCAGACCTGATAATCTTTTGGTTTGTTTGGAGTAAGAGTCTTGAAGTTTTTTGCCCTGGAGCTGCAACAGCAGCATCAAGGGGTTGATAAGCATCTTTTCTGAGGAACACTGCAGCCCTCCATGCTGGAGATGGAAGACAGATTTCTAACTTCCCCAATCCAGTGAAACCAATTTATTGAGTTTATTGCGGTGTAGGGCTTTGAGACTTCTTTGTTTTAAGTGTGCTGAGAACAAATCAGTAGGAGAAAACAGAATTGGACTTTCCCATTAAAGGTTAAAAAACATCTAGAAAAAGGGCCTGTCTCCTAATGTCACCAGTTACAGTAGCATCTATCTGCCCAGCAGAACATACCATTTTAGTTTTGGAAAAGTTAATTGATTACTAACATTAAAGGTTTGAAAAAGCCACACCCTCACAAATTGTTTGTGTTCAGCA